AGGGTTCCCCCTGAAGGTGAATTATTACAGAAGTTTGAATTTAATTTATTCAGTCAGTTTTGAATTTTGAGAACAGAAAACATATGTCTTCCATTGATATTTTCTCCATTGATATTTTCCCATTTGTTTAGGGAAAAAGTACTCTGCCCAGTAAACAAAAATCCAGGTTTTGAAGATGAGCCCACATAAGCATCCATGGACATGGTTCTAGGCATCTGTCTTTATGGAACCTCTGATCTGTGTTTTAGCCATTGAACTTTCTCATCTGAGTTGATCTTTCCCCCGGTTTACCATTGCACTTAAAATGTACTTAATCGTTTCATCAAAAATTAGTTCATTACACATGATTGTCGTCAACCAGCCATCAAGAAGAGATGTCCAACTTACATTGCAGAATGGAATAAACTCATAATTCGGGCTATGTCTGCAAAGCAGTTTGCCTCTGAACGCATTAGTGCTTTGTAGAACATCCCCTTGTGACAGACACATCTGGAATCACCATGCTGATCGAACAGTGAAGAGGATCTGCCCTGTGCTTCAGGCCCTCCCCTGGGCACACAGATTTTGGTTCAACGGTTCTAGAATAAGGCCTAGCGTTCTGCTTTTCAGAAGCCCATATTGAGGATTCTTTTGGTGGAATCACTGTATTTTAAGTAGAAAAGCTTTGGAGAATGACCATTTTTTGTTCAATGTTTTCCACTTTCTAATTTGTGAGCAATTCCTTTATACCCTTCACTTGGAGGCTAACAAAGGCCCCCAGCCCTTTATGCGACTTGATAGCTATAAAAGAGCTACATAAATGGATTTTCCTTAGATATTTGTAAGAATTGCTTCTTCACAGAAACGTCTGTCTGCGTGCTTTCCTGTCTGCTTTTGGTAGAAAGACACAGTTTTAGTTATCTGGAGTTTAATTCTTATAACAAGATTTACTGCCATTGTAAAACCACTGATATAAAAACATAAAAGTATAGTCATAGATTCAAAACACAGACCTGGACAGCAGTGATGTTTTTGGCAACACATAGAGGAACAGGAAATTGTAATGAGTTTCTTTTAGTCCCCCACAAAAAAAAAACCCACAAACTAGATTTCATATTCTTATTGGAACAACAGAATCAACATTGTCCATATGGACCAGCTACAGAGACACCGTTAAAATGTTATTAGAAGCCATGAATTGCAAAACAGGGCAGGGGATACTAGCAGGACACAGCAGGAAGCCAGCAAACCTTCAGGGGATCGTCTATGATCTCACACACACACACGCACACACACACACACACAATACACAGATAGATGTGGTAGTGGTTTCTTCTGCTTTTAGGTTCTAATTTTCCATTCACTACCGTGCAAATCAGGAAAATCCTCATCAATGATTTCTGAAGCTCTCTGCAGTTCTTCGTTGCAACCTTGATGCATCAAAGCATGCTAGTCCCTGCTGTGAGTTTGCTCCTGTGATGAAAGTCAGAAAATGCTCCTGTGTGTGGGCTTCGTTGGCTGTTTGCAAGAAACAGATAAACAGAAATGGAAATGGCGGGGCTCTTTCCTCCTCCGTCTTCGTCCATAAACTTTGAAGGCAATATAAATCCATTCTACCCACCCTGTTAATGTCTTATTTTTTCATGAGCTATAGATAATGAGCAGATAATTTTGTAGAGCAGAGAGTAGAAAATCAGTGTATTTTTTTTCCATACTAAACTAGCATTTCTTTCACTTACCGAGAGCTTGGGCGAGCATCCAGGTCTGACAGCAGTAGAAATTACAAGTAGGTTTTCATAATTAGATATTCATCCCCTTCCAGTGTAGACATGCTTGTATGAAAATCAACGAGGCCAAATTTTACCTTGCAAAACTAAAGAGAAGAAATAATGGCTACCAGGGGCTGAAGGAGTAGAGCAGAGATATCAGTCAGAAGTTAAGAAATTTCTGTCGCACAAAACAATTTTCAGAGTTTATCTGTGTAAGAACAGTGACTATGTTAATACTAATATGTAATATACATCAAAATTGTCAAGAGGGCTCTTAGATATTTTCAATGTACACACAAATTAAGTATGTAAGGTGATGTATTCGTCTATTTGATCTGATCACAAGGCATAAATAAATAAAAACATCACATTGTCAGCTGCACATATAGACAATCTAATAGTTAAGTTACAGAGATGTATTTAATCCTTCTCAAAATATCAGTTCAGATACATTGAACTCAGCAAATATTGCTACAAATTATCATAAATTGGAAGTCTAACTTGAATAATTTCAATACACTTCAAAATACTATATACGTATCAATGACTAGATCACAATGACTCAGAAACAGACTGACCCTGTCCTATTCAAGCAGTCATCAAATAGATATCAAGTTTCACAATTTCATCATGATGCTGAAAGGTAAATTAGTCTCTCTTCTTTTCTCTGGAGCCAAAGATAAAAGCCACATGTCTCTAATCTACAATGTTACACAACCTCTACTTTAAAGAACCAACTCCATGGAAAATTGGGAGGGAGATGTTTGTTTGCTTCTATTCTCAGTGTTTTATGTGCTCATGCCCTTATGGGAAAACCACACCCTCATTAGCAAGGCTTTCTGCAACATCCAGAACGGAACTGTAAATTTCATCAGCTCAGAGAATAGCCCGTGCAGTTTAATACTTTTGATTTTGTCTGACTCATTTGTGCTTACAAAATTCTGAAAATATAAATATACTGAATGCATTCTCAACATTAATTGTGATTCACATATTTTCTTATCGTGTAAATGACAAGAAAATGTTTACTGAATGCATGAAATGAGTCAATATTTCAAAACTCATGAGACTTCACTATATATAGATAGATATAGGTAATATAGATAAAGATATACATAGAGAGATTATATGTAATATGTATCAGCTATAAATATGACAGATCAGTTCCTGATCTGCAGTGACATCTTGCTCTTCTCAGGCAATATGCACAATAATAGGACACTACCTTTACAGTTGGCTCACATCTCAATGGTTCCTTGACAGGTTCCTATTTCTCTAATCCAGAAGACTGCAGCCAAATGGGTCAGACCCCACTCAAACGTGTACATGGCCTGGAGGGTATGGTTTTGTGTGAAGGGCCGCATCCACATGCTCCATTACAAGATGGCGCTGGCATCCGGTTTCACCGCCAGGTGAACGCACATGTGCTCGGTAACTTTCCACTGCTGTCCCCGCCTACTCCCGAGGCTTCACCTGGGCTAACGGGCAGCAGGCCAATCCAAGGGTGACACGTCCGAAGCAAGGACTGTTTCCTATATAAAGGAGGGGTTCCCTCATTTAGGGGTCCCCGGCCATGTTAGCTGATGCTCTCTCTCTCAGGATGCATTAAAGCTTTTCTGCAGAAGAATCCTAGTGTCCCGCGTGGTTCTTGCTGGCGAGACGATAGCGTGGGACAGTTTTGGTTTGGTTTGGTTTGGTTTTTTAGCTGTCTAGTGTTAGGAAGGCCTTTGTAGTTTGGTATTCTGACAGTATGTTTTCATTTTCTTTGGAATTCTGCAATTATTTTGTTATGTTCTAAAGTTTGCCATTCACCCTACTGTTTATTTAGCCTTTAGTTTTATCACCGCAGCCCCTGTACTCAATTCTCTTACCCATGTGGTTTTCGCTCTAAGCTCTACATGATGAACACTCTCTCTCTCTCTCTCTCTCTCTCTCTCTCTCTCTCTCTCTCTCTCTCACACACACACACACACACACACACACACATGAGCATGCAAACACACAAAAATCGACTATGACATTCCTGGATATAAGGAAAATCATCCTTCTCTTTCCCTTACACCTATATGTCTTTTCTACTTCACAGGGCAGTGAGCCACAATTCTCAGTCCTGGGGAATACTCAGCACAAACCAGTTTGGACAGCATCTCAGCAACGCTGGTGCCCCTGGGTATCCTGGACCACTGCCTCCTGATCTGTATGCTGTTCAGCTGTGGGTCTTAGCTGCCGGCAACATCATCTTATTCTGCTGCACAAAAAGCTCAAGTCTTCTCATACCCCTCTCCCCATTCTCTGCAACTCTCAGACAATGGAATTTTCTATTAAACAAGTGTGCACAGCTCTTGGAGGGAGAAAATCGGGTATTTGTTCTCCTTCTTCTGTCCACTATAATACAAAGCCCCGTCCCTCCTCTCGGGAGAACAGGAGGCTGGCTGGCAGGCAGTTTGACAGAAGGAGAGCAGTGCAGCGGAAAATTGAATAACAGGATAAAAATCTACGGGGCCACAGGAATCCCATCAAAACTGGCTCCTCCTGTCAAAACCAAGACAGAAACAAGGACGGATATAGAATGTTATTTCTATTTAAATATTTCTAATGATATCATAATTATTCCGCAGCCTCTGTTAGACAGCCATTTTCCTGTGAGCCACAATTCTGCAAACCAAATGTTGTATGTTGAAGAGAATCTACATAAGAATCAGACAGCTTCAATCAGACATCTGGAAAACCCTATAAACTCCTCAAATAGCTATTTCTAACGGGCAGGGCATAACGGCTTTTTTTTTTTTCAAAGACCTTTTCTCCTTAGAGCACAATAGTTAAGAAGTATAGGCTACTCCTGACTCTTCAGCATGAAAAGCCAACCTATCAAGCAGATAGCTAAAAATTAAATTTGTTATTTTGAAAAATACCCTATTTTCTTCTTTTTCTCAATGCTGGGCTATTCTGCAGTTCAAATTACTGACTGATTGTTTATATGTACTCAACTTTATACTCAATTCCTCAGACTGGGGTTTTAATTGCCTGAAGATAGAAATTTTCTTATTTACAAACTTGGACAAATATTTTGATATAGATATTCGAAATCAATATGTGTTCTAATTAATTCTGCTATTAAAATATGGCATTTTAGAGGGATTTTTTGGTTGTTTTTTGTTTTGTTTTGTTTTTAGTTTTTTTGAGACAGGATTTTTCAGTGCAACAGCTCTGGCTGTCCTGGAACTAGCTCTTGTAAACCAGGCTGGCCTTGAATTCACAGAGATCCACCTGCCTCTGCCTCCTAAGTCCTGGGATTAAAGACGTGTACCACCTCCGCCCGGCTCAGAGTATTTTTCTTAAGAGATGTACTGTAAGGGATTTCAGCATTTACAACATAATGAAATACAAAACTGAATGGACTTAGACTTAGGATGTATAATCGTAATCAAAGTCATTCAATATTGGAAAGAAATAATCGCTCAATGCGAAGTCTTGTCAACAACTGATATACATGTGTAAACAGATGTACGAATAGGTACTGTATGGTGTCAGAAAGAACAAGACAGACTGAATATTAGGGGATGAGGGAGGACCAGAGGCAGGTGGTGGAGATGTGTCCTGAAAGGGGGCATTATAGCTAATTGTTTCTCCAGCTCTAAATCTGGGAATTTGGGATCTGGTGGTGGATACGATATTGGTGGTGGATAACTGCATAATGATATTGGTGTTGGATAACTGCATACAATATATTCAATAGCAAACCCCAGGGCAACCACACAGCTTCCACATCAAGGACCTATGCTGTGTATGAGCTCATTGAGATGTATAGACTCTGGGTCTGGGTAACTTCGGTGTGTGACTTTTTTTTTATTTGCAGGGATTTTGAAATAAAGTTTATAATTCTTTAATTCCAAAATGAAAAAAGGATTTAATTCTAAAATATACTTTATGTTGCACTTCCATGGGGTTTTAATTTTAAAGTTCCTGAGGCCTTAGTGAATATCCTTTCTTCAGCAAATATTTGGTTTTTTATAGAGGAGCAGCTATACACAAACATGTACAACAGAAAACAAGGTAGATCACTGTCAGTAGAGGATTGATTTAAGATCATTAATTTCCAGGAGGGACATATAGCCATTGAGTATAGTATTCAAGACACTGTGACGAGTTCAGGTGAGACTAACATAGACGGGCCCTTCGCTCACAGCAATCGGGCATCAGAACTTCTGGCTGCAGTGCAGACACAGAGGGTGAAGCAAATGAGGATTCTCCACTGTCAAAACACCTTTGGCTCACACAGCTTCCAGCCACCTGAACCCATTTTATGGGACAAATTTAATCTCCACTTGCTGCCAGCTTGCTCCTGCTACCTTGTTCAGAAGCCTCTCTTTGGCTCACACGGCGCTGTTCTCACTTCTGCCTTCTCTTGCTCATGTCCGTTTTCTGCCTGAAATGCTTCGGGCCCCTCCCTCTTTTATCCAAAGTCTGATTCTTGAACGCATAACTGATTCATCACCTTCTCCTCAAAACTTGTTTTAATGTTTTATTTTCTTTAAAAAAAAGTCTGAGACGGGGTATCATGTCGCCTCCAGTCTGTACCCCCCAAGTGCTCAGATTACAGGGGAGTGCCACCACACCCAGCTCACGGAATGCTAGGGATCAAACCCAGAGACTTGTGAAATGCTAAGCAAACATGTTACTACTGCTACCACAACCTCCCCGGACGCTCCATTCTGACTCTACCGCAGTATTAGTTACCTTGTATGAGGTGATGTTTTAAATTATTCACGCATATGACCTTGCTTAATTTTGTAAAATTAGTGATATGTAAGACTCCATTATAAAGCAGAAAAGCCTAGAACATTAAAAAACAAAAGTTCTCATACACCTAAGATATGTATTTTCAAGCTAATAAAAATGTGAAGCTATAGATATGCTATTTGACTTGAATGCAGTAGTCATTCTACTATGAATGTGTACATAAAAATTACATTGTACAGCGAAATGAACCCATACAGTCAGTCACGCTGGGGACTTGCAATGTCCTATTACTATGGTTTTAATCTACTAGTGAAAACATCTTCAACAAATGTCCATCGTGTGTCTATCCAATGAATTCTGGAACTTGCAGGCTAGCAAATCCTATACTGAGAAGGAAATACAGAAGTCATAAGATGCTGGGTTCTTTTCTTTAATGTTTTAGATTTATGTGCATGCACACACTCATGCCATTGTCCCTATCACCACGTGTAACTGCAGCTCACAGGACAACGTGGATGGCAGTTCTCATGTTCCGCCTTCTGTGAGACAGGGTCTCTTCCACATGGCTACCTACGCCGGGATACTGTCCCAGGAGCTTCTGGGAACTCTCCTGTCTCTGGTTTATGTCTAGTTGTAGGAGTGGTGGAATAACAGACCCCTGTGACCTCATCTGTCTTTTTATGGGTGCTGAAGATCAGAACTCAGGTTCCCATACTATGCAGAAAGCGCATATCACCTACTGAGCCATCTCCCCAGTTTGGTTTCCTTCCTTCTTTCCTTCCTTCCTTCCTTCCTTCCTTCCTTCCTTCCTTCTTCCTTCTTTCTTCTCCTTTCTTTCCTTTTTGTCCTAAGGTGAGATCTTCTGAAAACTGACAAATGGAAATGTCTCTGGAGTGAGGTTACTGAGTTCACTGTTCTTTCTTTTGGAGAGAGTCAAAAGAATTTTTGAGTATAGTTAATTTAGATCAACTCTGAATGTCATTTTTATTTTGCTATTAATGTAAATTATAAATGCTCTCTCTTGTGTTTGTTTTCCTTACATGAATTTGGATACATTAGCCTCGGGTTAAGTAAATTAAATGAAAAATAGCCCCCATAGTTCTAGCATCAAAACAAAATGTGGCTGCTTGGTTCTGCGACTCATTTAATAGATCACAATCAGACATCAACTAAAGGCTTGTAATTTAAATTATGAGCAGAGGGGTTCAGAGCTGTAGCTAATTCATTACCCACACAGCTCTAGTTGAAGTGGCAATTTACAGTCATGTGTGTCACATTAATTGTAATCTTGTTTCCAAATCACAAGATAAATATCTCAAGGAACATAATATATTATGGTCATAGGTCAGCCCAAATGAATGTCTAAAACAGATTAGTACTAAGTATATGCAATATGTCATGTTTATAAAGTTATAAAGGGATAAATTGTATTAACGTTTAGCAGATTATTCACTGTACATCATCAATGTTTAGCTTTAAGCAAATTAATACTCCATTTATTCATAACATTGTATGAAAATACCACACACAGAGAAACACAAAATCTCTGACGCAAAATCTAATACGTGAGCTTAAGTCGATAAGCATCCATTTTATCTTTCCCCACAAAGAGCTTGCTGCTTTGATTCACACATGTGTAAAATACGTATGTTTGGCTCCTAGTGACTCAACTAAAGGACCATTTTACAATTAACAAAATATAATGGTCACAGTGCAGGCCCTACCAATGCTTGGTAATAAGTCTGCTTATCTTCTCTCTCTCATCTGGAACTGTAGCCAAGCCTCATCTGCAGTCCTAGAACAGAAAACAAATTGTCCCCAAACACACGGCAAAGTAAGTGCAAGATAAAAATGCAGGGTATCCTTATAACTGAAGCTGCGAGTTACATTTCAGATCTGAGCAAAACTTAAGCTAACGTGCAATGTGCATGCCTGCTGGTTCTGAGATTATGGGGGGAAGGAGGTAACCAACTCTTGCTTCTACCAGGTCTCCATGTAATTGCGTGCCATTCTTAACTCAAGTCAGAATCCCTAATGGAAGAAGCTTCAGCAATTCTTTGCTTTTCCTGAAGGAATTTTCTGTATTAGGTATGCATTAATTTCTCTGATAAAAAGAAGTCAAAGTTTGTTCTGGCTCACAGCTTAAGTGTAATCTTTTAGGGTGTGGCATACATGGTCGCAGCAGCAGGGAACAGACGGTCACATTGCATCCACAGTCAGGAAGCAGAGAGCAATGCATGTCCCCTCTTTCTCCTTTTTAATTCAGCCCAAGAATTCATCTCATGGATGGTTTCACTCATATTTAGGAAGAGTATTTTTTTTCACCTTAATTCACCTAATCTATATCCCCCCGACAAAGATACCCAAAAGTTTATTTCCATGGTGATTGTAAATCTCATCAAATATACAATCAAGAGTAACCATCAGCAACGTGTTGCGAAGTCTCTTTGGGCACAGTGACGGACGGTGGAGGAAGATCAAGCCGTCTGATTCCAGCTGTCAGGAATGCGTGGCTGAGCTCTCACGGGTGCTGCCCTTTGTGTTGCTGTTTAAACTTTCATTGATTCTGCGTGTCTTTAAAGCAAGGATAGCTACCTCGAGTTGATCAAGAGCTTGTTCTGTTTCACACTTAGTCACACCGGGTCCAAAGTTTCACCGATAGTCCCTGTAGACAGTGAGGTACCACCAGTGTTCTTTGTAGACAGCAGAGAATGTCATAGAGTACCACTTCTCCTGTGAAGATGGAACCTATGTTTTGGTAAGTGAAGTTTGAATGAAGATGAAATGATCAAGGCAGCCAAGGGGGTTTCTTCAGATCTTTGCAAGGAGAGACTTTTTAAAGATAGCTTTTCAGAATAAGAGGAGAGAAACTTTGCAGGTAAACAATGAAGCCCTTACTGAAAAGCCTCAGTAAGTTTCTGCGGGGCTGTGTAAGATGGGAATCTCATCCTCTATGCAATATTTTACTGGGACAAATGTACTGCGAAGGCTGCTGTGCTCTGGAACTGTGGGAGTATTGGGTGTCCCTGTAAGACAGGATCATCCTGGACCACATTTGGATGGCACCAGCACAAAGAAGGAAATCATTGATGGAAGCTATTTTTTCCCTCTTAAGGTGTTCACTGGGAGATGTGTCTGACACAGCTGAAGATGCTGACTGCACTTGAATGGCGGCTAGGAACTGGGCTCAGACAATCTGATGCTCAGTGAGACTCCAGAGAGTAAGGAAATGACACTGTGAAAGGTGCTTCACACCTCGGCCTTTCAAACACTCCCACATCTCCGAAGTGAAACCTGTCAACCTTTGAGGAATTCAGAATGGCTCTTTTAGTCAATCTGATCTCATGACGATCAAACAACTTTTGGGACTTCCCTGAATGCTCATTGGGAAGCTAGGCCAACAATTTCAGGGATAAAGCAAGAGCAGCTTTAGAACGTCCCTGTCAGGATCCGGCTGGCTGCAACCTAGAAGACTCACAGAGAGATCTTGAATCCCATTTTTTTTTCTCTGAAGCTGTGTAAACTTAACATTTCTCTGCCTTTGATCTCTTCATCCACAGTCGCAGCTCTCAAAGACCGGGTGGAGGTGATTAGCATAATGAATACAGGGACAAACCAATAACCAAAGCAGCATGGCTCCTGCCTCCCTAGGGTGGTGTCTACAGTGAGCCACCCAAGGCTGCCACAGCAAGCCAGTGCCACAGACTGAGTAGCCTAACAACAGAAATTTATGTTTCCATAATCCTAGAAGCCAAAGATCAAGTTTTTGGCGCATCTGGCTTCTTTGGAAAGCTCTCTCCATGACTGGCAGAGGGCTATCTTCTTACTGTGTCCTATTATGGTTTTGTTCCCCCTCAGTCCATACATCTTAGGCTCCCCTTCCTCTCCCCCGAGCGAAATTGGTCATATTGGATTAAGACCCAGATTTAATGATATTTTAACTTTGCATGCATTTTAAAAGACCTGTCTTCAACACATGCCTTTGGTGCCACCAAAGCTGATGATACTAACTGCTTACTTCCCAGGGTGGCTCTGAGGATTAAAGGACGTGGCGCTTCTAAGGAATTTAGAGCAGTGGGGAACACGAAATGCTGCTGTGAAAGTGTTTATTAGTGGGTTTTAAGAATGAATTTTCTCAAATGTTCAAGGGCTGAGGAGCTATCTCTGTGATTCGAGTCTGATGACTCAAGTTCTACGCCCAGAATTCATGTAAAAGTGGAAGGAAAGAACTGAGTCTGCAAAGATTGTTCTCACATGACTAGATGCATGCACACACGCACAGACATGCTCATGCATCACACATACATTAGTCTGCAAAGATTGTCCTCACGTGACTACATGCATGCTGTGGTACACATGCACACACACGTGCGCGCGCGCACACACACACACAAACAAGTTCATGCACCACACATACATATATACACAATAATGAATAAAATGAAATAAATTTTTGAATGAGACAGGGACTCACCATGTAACTCAGAATGTCATTAAACCCACAGTACTCTTGCCTCTACCACTGGAGGAATCCAGTTAGTTGTTCACACTTAAAATTCTTCTTTTTGAAACCTGACTTAATTTATTCTTGATGAAATGAAAGGGCCTCCTTCTTCCTGACAGTCAGGAACCAGGACTGCGTGCTTATTATTTCTGCACTGCAGTGTACCTTAAAATTTAGTATATGCTTATCCGTGTCAACTTAAGGGGATTGAGAGATGCTCAGATGAGTGAAACACAGTACTGGAAATTTCCAGAGAGAATTAGCTCATGAGGACTCGTATCTAATCAATGGCATATAGCATTGATAGATTGAAAATCTGAATGGATAGCCTACTGGGAAGTGTAGAAACTGCAAGGTGGGGCCTGACTAAGGCAGTCGGTCCTTGGGAGTGCTTGTCTTAGGAGGGCATATCCTGGCTTGGCTCCTTCTATCTTCCCAACTCAGCTTTCTCAATGTCATAAGCCATCGGCTCTGCCTCACCACACTCGCCTCACCATGATGGATAGAAATCTATGAACCCATACGCTGAGGTGGATCTTTCCCCACTTCACTGCTGTGACCTGACAGAACAACGGAAGTCCAACAAACATCCCTAGCACTTAAAAAAAATGAAACCTTCTTGTTTAATACAGTTTCTACGAATCGATCAAGGCACAGCCTAGTTGGAATATTCTGGCCCAGTCCCTCATGAGACTGCAAGACATCACGGGAAAGATTGATTGGGCTGATCATACACTTCTAAGTTGGGCAAGTTGTCGATATTTGGAGGCAGTTTCAGTCCCTCATTATGTGACTTCCTTAAAGAGATACTTAAATATCCTTAAAGTCTGGCAGCTGACTTTCCCGAGAGGAAGTGATCTAAGAAAAATCAAGGCAGAAATAATAATAATTTTTATGTACTGGACTCAGAAGTTACCAGTCATGACTTACACTGCACTCTGTTGGTGGAGCAGCTCCCCTGGCACAGAGGAGGGATGTAGAAAGGAGATTGCCACACAGCAAGCATCCACCGGCGCCCTCAACTGAACAGCTACCATATCTGATCAATCAAATGCTCCTGCAGGACTGTGAAACATGTTGGGTGACACGCTAACATGCTAACAATCAGATATCACAGCTCAGCACAAATGTTAAGTTGGGACAGCACCACTGGCCACATGTCGGACAAAGAAAGGACTTCCTATCTTCCATACTGTGTACATCACTGCTTTTCAATTTTTAAAATTCTTTTCATTCTCTTTTATTTCTTAATTCCTCAGTTCTGGGTCAATGCCCCTTATCTTTCACTAGTTTTTATTTTTAATATATTTTCTGGTTAGTTCCTTAGCTTGTATTGTTTGAAACCAAGAACCTTAAATGATACAATCCTTACCCTTTTTCCCCATCTTTCCTCTGCTACAGTTTGTCCCCCTCTTCTCCTAACTTCCTGTCCCAGACGCCTTGGTCTAGGAGATGTCACACTCCACGCTTCAGTGACAATTCCGAGTTCTCATTCTCCCCTCTGTTAACAAAGTATACACCACAATTACCTAGATAACTACCATTAAATGGTCAACTTCCCTCCAGTACAATTTTGCTTCCAACAATAACAAAAAAAAAGTGCAGGTGTTCTGAGAATCTTGTTCATTTCATAAATCCCAAGACCCCATACAGTAGATCTTCCCCAAGAGTAAATAAAAGTGAAACATTTTTTTGTAGTTTTTCATATCTTTGTGAGAGAACTCACACCCCTTAAGTAGCAGCATTGGTAAGAATAGAGTATGTGTCTCCATTTTCTGTGTTTTACACTTCCCAATGTATTGTTGCTGTGAATTTTAAATCAGCATTTTTCAAAGATGTTGGATGTCCTTACCGTTTGACACAACGGATTTCAGATAAATAGAGTCTCTTTTCAGTGACTTCTTTCCACTATGTGAAAGCCAAAACATAATTAGAAGTTTGCTTCATACGCATCACATTGGAAAAGGGAGTTATTGTTTGATTCGGTTGCTCAGTGCCATCTGGTGAAGGAGGCGTGTCTGAGGACTGAGTAGGGGTCCTCAAGCCAGCGTTCACTGGAAATGCGACCAACTACCTCCCCTCCACCAACTGCCTCAGTTACATTTTTGATATTCGACCACTTCCCAAATCCACATGTGATGATCCAAATACAGTTTGTTTTGAAGAACATTTCTCACTGAAGATCAAAGACACAAGAGAAAGGAAACAGAATTTTTTAGAAAGGCTATAATGTTTGGGTTTTTAAAAATCAAGTGCTTAAAAAAAAAAAGACTTGCCTCACCAACCTGAGATATAATGAGATTCCTAAATACTTTTAATATTCCATTTAATTACTTAATCCCCAGGATGAACACAAAAGAAATCCAGAGGCAGCTTTTTCAGGGGCAACCTCTGGAACCCCATTCCTCCTTAGCCAAACAAAGAAAATGAATGGAAGTCTGCAGAGGACAGGGCATGGCCTCGATGGCTTCTTCAGACTTCTTTATTTAATAGAATCAAAGCTGGAAGGATGAGGGCAGGATGGGAAGAAAACACTAGACCCTCCAGCCAGGAAGAGATCCCACATTCGAGGACCAGCTCTGCCGTCACTGCCATCCACGCCCGCTGCACCTAACTGGTCCTCTTCAGAGCATCCCTTTTGTCCAGCCTACCTAGTGCCAGTTCTTTCACCGCTTCCCAGCAGGCCACTGTCCTTTAACTGTGTGTTACGGCAGGGAGACTTTCCAGCTAGCCCGGGGCAAAGACCCCTTCTTCTTGATGTCCTATAACTCAGGAATCAACGCCTGCCTCTCCTCAGGGCATGGGCTCCTTTAGGTAAAAATCATTGAAAACCATTTTAATAAATGCAATAGTGAAGAGATTCTCTTCTCTCCTAGAAACCTCTGACAAAGCACATTGACTTGTACAAACAGAAAATTTTACATGAGGAGAACAATCCCATCACAAAATACCTTAACATTTACTGTCCCTGAATCAGTAGGTCTGTCCCCCCATTTACATAATTAAAGATGGTCATCAAGCCCCTTCTCTCTCTCTAAATGATGAAAATCTGGTTCAGACAGGATCCACCTAACTAGACAAACAACTTGGGGCTACTTGGGAATTTTCAGTTCCCTCTGGTACTATGCAAAGGTAAGCCAAGTCCATGGCTACTAAAAGATAATGTGTAAAAATGTGGAACTGGTCTGAAAGACACGATTCAGCAGATGACTGAACACCAGTTCCCACAGATTGAACAGCAACCCCACTGGCCAAAGCAGGAATCCTCCTTAGACACAGCCTGATATATGGAAGGAACTCAGGCATTTGAAGGCATTTATCTCAGACCATACCCTAGCCTGTTTGTGCACAGAGCAATTGGCTGCGGATGAACCCATGGCTCAATGTCAGCTGCGAGTACTAAGGTTTTGCTCTGACACTGAAGGGCAGAACGTTTCTCTCTTGTTAGATGAGCTGTGCAGCCATTAAACAGCCTGCCTTAAAGTGGAGTCAACAGAGAGGAAGTGAAACTAGCAATAAATCCCGGCCTATGAGAGACAGAGTTCTCCACAAAATGCTGAACTTCCCTTTGAGCTGAGTTCTTTGGGAGGGTGATTTTTGTTACTCTCTACCAGAAGGTTTTTACAGTGCACGCCAGCGGGTTGTTTACCAGGAGGCTTAATCAGTGTGGTACCGCGTAGAAGGGAAGTACACTTGGTCTAAACCCCTGCCTACTGTCACCACCCTAATAACAGGAAGTAGCGTTTAATTGGAACTAGGAGACGTGGCTCTAAGAATAATCATCCAAGGCTAACCGCGTGAGTGGTTTTGATGTCAGATAAATTGGCTCTCTTGCTATAAAGTGCATCTCTCCTGATTAGTACTTGATTAAACAGCAACAACAAAAATAACCTCTTCAGGCTGAAATATCAACAGCCTTCTGGGTTCCACTTTCCTCAGCAAGATAATGAGCAAAGCTCATTGCTTAGCAGATTTTAATTGGATGAATATTTGATACACAATGGTTTTTCTCTCACCTTCTGTGCTAAAAGTTCCATTACCACATGAAGAGTTTTCCTGTATTTTCTATACCTACATAGAAAGACAATTGCTGCACCTTGGTCATTTACATATTTAAGATTTCTTTTAATTTATTCGCGTTCATACAGCAGTGGTTGAAAGCTCTCTGCTTTTGACCGTAAGTTCTTCTTTCCAAAATAGACTTTTTAAGAATTAACATTTAAGTGGATTTTTGTCACACTGTTAAGTTCTAAGCAGTTACTGTGTGTTCTTTGTTCTGTAAAGAAAAAAAAAATGTGTATAACAAGCAGTCAGAAAATGCAGTCGTGGCCCCCCAGGATTTTGTAAGCTAGCTCAAGTTAACAAAATGAACAGGGTAAAGTAATTGATAAAATGAATTATTTTAGTGTCTGGAGCAAAGGACGAATCGGTGTAAAAAAAACGTAAGTGGAAAAAATAATTTGGTGGAGAGACTGTTAGAACTTATGATTTGACTCATCAGACAGGAATAGGTCAATCAAGAAAAGGTGTATCAACCTTACAAAGCCACATGGTAGTCTAAAGCGATCCTCTTTAATTGCTGGTCTTGTAAGTCTTCGTGAACTTATTGCACTCTCGTGAGCCCCTATTGTCTGAGCCTTTTATATGAGTCTGGGTATAAACATGTAAGTAAATAACACTTACTGATACATAGTGAAGACATATAGGAGAGAATAACTTTTGGTATACATAAAATTTCATAATTTATTAGACAGACGTAAACTAACATACTAATGAATTGGATATTCTTATTAATTTTTACATAGAAGAATTAAAATATGGGCTGAATATTTGACATTGTGTGGCACAGAGCATCTTCAACATGTTTCAGAGTTAATATTTTGATTTCATAATAATCAAACCAAGAACATCACTTTGCAAAACCACTTATTAAAATATGGCAGAAGCATGTTCATGGCCCTTTCAGAAATTTAGAATGTGCATCTCCATGTATCTTCTGACAATATCTTTAATTCTCCACTTTTGGCTCCTTGATACATTTGGTTCTGTAGCTACGGATAGATATAGATTGGCTAATACATGATTCTAACCAAAGCTGATGAGATGCAGGTGATCACTGAAGAGTTCAGAGCTCTAAAAAACTTTTCTTCTTAATGGACCACGATAGCAACTTGACAGTGGACATTAAAGGAAACCTTAGCTCCTGACTCAACTTTGAAGCCATAGGTCAGTTTGCATCAGCTCTCTCAATACCTTATGTCAACCCTGAAGCTCAGAGAATTCCAGTCACGCCAAGAACACGAAATCAGGAAAGGAAAGGACTGATCAATCTGAGACCAGGTCTCCAGGCTGGGTGGCGAGCAAGCTCATGGCCTGCAGACCAGTTGGCTGATCATAACACAGAACCCTCAAGTCACGTAGAAGCCACCCCTGCCGGTGACATCAGGATTGTCTGCACTTCAGGTCCACAGAGAAGCATGACCTACAGAAGTAGAATGGGAACACTCATTTAAGGCCGATGGACAGGAGACGTTCCTGTGGAGCATTTGGCCGAAATCTAATGAAAGTCATCATGTTTACTTCTTAAATTTCTAAATGTGGAAACTGAAAAAAACAAAAAGTGACAAAATTAAAAAAAATATATGTAGAGTATCTGATGGATCCTTGCAAGCAATGAGAGAACATGGGGGCATAGGGTATTGTGAAAGCAAGAGAAAACAATATCAAAATTACAAGAGTTTTAAAAGACTTTGAAAGGTAAAAGGTTTACAAGAATTTCTAATTTTTTTCAAAGATTGTAAGATCTTTTCCCTCAAATGAAAGCAAGAAATTCGGCAGGTCTTTCTCTTTAAACACTTCCTGAATACGCATAAGAGATGTCAGAAATCTCTAATACGATGGTTTTTGCTTACAAACATAAATTCTAACGCATTTTCTTCCTCAGTTTTGCAGTGTACTTGGCATAGAGGTTGTTAAGATGTACCTTTTGACAGTAGACAAATGCAAGCAAAAAAATATAGACAGTCCCCTTGTTGACAAAGTGCCAGTCTGTACAGACACACCCAGAAATCATCTCTTAAGCTCTATTGCCACACCAAGTCAAACTTTTCTACTGACATCATGGTAAGTAGATTAAGGAAAGGTACAATTCCAATATTGCATAAACTGGAGGCTTCTTCTTTTTAAAAAAGCATCAAAAAAAAGTACTGTGTGGACCACTACTTTAGTCCTATGAGTGTAAAGAACACGCCAGAGGCTTAGGGAGTTAGTCACCAACCACATCACCTTTTGTGTGTGTTGCCTACTCAGCCTTCCCAGATGTCACAATCAACAGACACATTTGTTAAACTGGAGAAACTCTTGGACCACAGCAAACAGATGCTACAACAGAAGGAAATTTTCTTCAGGGGCTGAGAGAAGGAAATTTCCAATTAAGAAATGCCTGGACACTTTGATCTCCCATCTAGTTGACTGAACTCTGAGATTTCCTTATGCCACACTTCAGAATAAAAAAAAAAAACTTTCTATTTCTCTCCAACTATTATTTGTGTACACACGGATTAGTTTAAAATAAGCTCACTTTTGTGTCCTTTTAAAATTGCTTTGGCACCTTAGAAAAATGGAAAAAATGTGTTCTTTCATGTAGTAGTGGTTGCAGTTGCTCCTTTTATTTTTATCCATCTGGTGCCAACCTCGCCTCTTGACTTTCTCTCCATTCAGTTGTCAAGTTATACAGTAACTATCACGTGCCTAACTCTTCCATGTACCTACCAGCCGTCTATTCAGACAGAGTCGCTACAAAATGCAAAGTGAGCAGATCCCGTGTGTAAGTGCAGGACAGACATCATGACCTCAGTGCCAACCGTCCACCCGTGATCAAGTGCCACCGTGCCACCTAGGTTCTGTGGCATCTTTCCAGGTCAAGATGAGACCATCCACCCGGCAGCTGCTTCTCCGGCAGCTCTCCTCACTCTGCCCTGCGTGTTTCCAGGATCCCTGACCGCTCTACCCCGTGTTCCCGGCTATCTGTTCTCCCCAAATTACCACAAGTCAGACACAGGCAGCAGACTTCGTCAGAGGCGCAAGTCCCTGGAGAGGTCCATGTGAACTCAAAAGCTAGCAGGTGTCTATCTGAAGTCATCACTTTGTTCTGCAAAGTCCTCAGCCATGGACCATTTTCTCAGATCAGTTTTAGAGACTTCCCATAGTCCCGCATCTCCATAGGCACATGACTTCCTTCACAACCACCTTCCTGCAGCGAAGTGGCGACTGACCCAACCAATGACGTCCACATGACTCACAGTTTACATGCGAGTTGTCTTCATTCTATAAGTTTTGAATGTCCGTGTCATGGTTCCACTGCTGTAGCATCGTGCAGTGTAGTCCCCCTGCCCCCCAATTCCTTTGTGTCCATCATTCATCGCTTTTTCTTCTTCCTCCTTGTAACCATTAACCACTGGCGTTCTTCTTGTCCTTGATTATGCTCTTTGTGGATTGTTCTACAGCGTCTGTGACACTTCACAAAAAGCAAAATCGGAGATGCTGCTTAGCACATCCACCGGAATCTTCCAGTGAACCGTGGTTTACTTATCCATGCACTTGCTAAGTATCTTAATTGCTTCCAGTTTGGGTCAATCATGGATGGTGCAGGTGTCAGTTTTCACCTGCAGATTTTTGTGTGGACACAAATTATAACTCATTTGAATAAATATCAAGGGACATTATTATGGGTTCTATAATGAGAGTACAGTTAGGTTTTTTTGTTTTGTTTTCTTTTTTTAAAGGCTGTCAAACTCCTTTCCAAAATACTAGTCCACTCCTGTTGCTCCCATATCCCCAGCATTTACAGTTAGTGTTTGGGATGCTGACTATCCTATCGGGTGTGCCAGTACCACATCACTGTTTTAATTGCCAGCCCCTTAACGGTAGTCAACACCTTTTGTAGGAGACAAGGCAGGCATGAACGGCGGTCAGCTTACTTGGCATACTTCATTCTAAATAAAAACCATGGCACGTGCTCCTGAAGGTATAATGCTTAATTCTGAAGGAGCATGAGTGGTTGGCTCATGGACAGGTCTGCACTCTCCACACCTCTAACGTGCCTCTCCCACATAGAGCCCCTGGTGGTACGTGCTAACCAATCACAGCCCATGCGCTTCCATTATGTAAATGGTTGTTCACGTTCAATAAAGCAGATGGTATTCCCTAAATCCATGGCCAGAGTGGCTTCTCTCTAAGCCCTTTACAAACCCATGGGCACGGCGGTCTTGCCAGGGAACATACACCCTGGCAACAGTGGTAATCTTTTTATAAGCTCTCAAGCTATCTCTGTACGCTATTCAGTAGGGTGTGTCTGTTCAAGTTTCTTCCACGTTCTTAACCAGCTGTTTCTTTTTCTTATGAGATTTTCCTAGTTCCTATATATTGTAGATAATGGTCCTCTCTCTGGTGCTGTCTGGAAGCTTTCTCTCCGTCTTTATCCCCTCACTCATCCTTATATCACAAGTCGCAGAGATGTTCCTCATTTCCCTCCAGTCCACTTTATCAATTCCTTCTTTCATTGGTGTCTTTGGTCCTGCATCCAAAAGATAATTGCAACAGTCAAGATCTTTTAGATGATCTCCTACCCTATTTCCTAGGACCCTCCTCATGTCATGGCTTACATTCATACCAGTGATCCATTTTGAACCAATTTTTGTACATGGTATAAGTTTAGTATTGAGATCGTTTCATTTTCTGTTTCAGTACTCAAGGCTATTTTCCTCCCAGTAACTGAGACTCTAACATCCCTGGACTCTCATAATTCCTGCTTATATTTTTAATTGTAAAATAGCTTTCCTATCTTCATCTTAAGAAATCATTCCTTATTTTTCCAGAGGGCATCACTATCATAACCAAATTCACAGATCAAATTATACATACATATTTTTAAAAGTGCTTAGTCATGCGTCCTCTACTAGAGCATAATTGTGAACATCTCTGCAGAGGAGTGGTCATTGAATTTTCCTTTATTACAACTTCAAATAAAACACCCTGAATCCCACCATGTATGAAAAATTAATAAATCATTGCACTTGACAGCTTGCAGGGTCTCATGTCATGCCTTTCCAGTTCTAGTCTGTCTTACAGCTTTCTCCTTCTCTTCCTCAATGTTTATGAAATGTAATCACACCAAAAAAAAAAAAAAGGGAAAAGGGCTTACTGACTAAACAATACCTGAAGGGAAAGGATTTGCTGTGTTATTTATGGTCTGTAGGCTTTACATTTAAAGATCTATTTGTCAATGTGTACACTATATCAGAATTCAAGTGTTTATCCTTTTGTCTTTCTGAACACTTCCCTAAGATTTGAAATAAGTCAATATACTACTGAAGTAGACAAACAGATCAGAAAAAACCTCATCTTGATACCCATTTTCTAACTTAGAGAAGGCATTGTAAAAAAATATTTAAATTTCCAATATTACTAAGATTTATTGTATCGATTGTTGATATTTGTAAAATGAAGCAGTACAGTGTCTTGTTTTAAAGGCTTAGTGTGTGTGTGTGTGTATCTGAGAACATGTCTTTCGGGTATATGAGGAAGCCAGATTAGGGCATCATATCCTCTGGGGATGGAATTGCAGGTCTTTCTGAGCTGCCTGGAATGGATTCTGTTATCTGAACTTCATTTCTCATGACTGCACAAGTACTCTTAACTGGTGAGACACTTGACTAACCCTAGAAAAACTTTGTAGGAAATTATGCATAACCCCTATTTTTGATGAAGACATAAAAATTATGAGGAAAGATAAACTATTAAGGGAAAGCAAAAAGCGGCTGTTGGGATATAATTGGATCCTGAGAAGTGTAAAGATGACATTAAAACAAAATGTCCATATAATTAAAGAACTCAGTATTACACCATGAACTTCATTTCTTGAAATCCCAGCAACATCAGGGCCCATTAATTTTGAGTCAATGAAGTCCCATTAGTGTTCCACTGAGTCCGGAGCTGTATGCTTCAAGAGAAATATACCTTAATTGATTTTGAAGATTTAGGGATAGTTTGTAGACACTAACTTAAGTGTAACAGGGGTGATCATCACCATCCGTTTGTGTCAGCATCGGCCGCGCAGGCTTCCCCCGCGGTTTTTATGAGCATGTATAAGGCACTTTGCTCTTGATGATAAACAGTTTCAAGTACCCAAAATCATGGGTCCTCAAATGGATTTTTGCTGAGAGCCGAAGATACGATAACCGTCAGTCCGACCTCTCTTTCCTGGAAACTCTCTTCATTGTCCAATCTTCTATCCCCATAACTGCTTTCCAATGAAGAAAAGAAGAAGAACCTACAAATGCCAGCACATTTCTTCCACTGACAATTCAAGTCGTAAGATTGACTTGATACCAATATAAATGAGTAAAACATATACCTCAGCCTCATTACAGAGTGGGGTTGGGTTATACTTTTTCTCTTAGATTCTATTTAATTCCAAGGATACCATAAATATTTTGCTATTTCCCAGTAATTCCTTTCTTTGTTTTTTCCAGGTAAAAGACACGATGATCCCATGGCTGTGGCAAAGAGAATGCTTTGCAGCAACGCTGCCATTGCTCGCGGTTAAAACCAACAAGTCTGCAGGCTGACTGGTGCCATTGCAAGCCAACAAAATAAGACCATGTCTGACACTTCTGCCCAGGCCTCCATCTGGGTCTGTTTTTCAAGGCTGAGATGACACTTCCAAGGCACTGAAGCAATAGATCTCCCCCTCCAAATGACTTGCATCCCTGCAGCCGTGTGGATGCTGCAGTTCGTGTGCAGAAACAACGGTCACTGAGCTGGGGAGGGGACATCAGATTCAGAGCTCTGGCTGCTTTAATGTGGAATGAGGTCTTTTTCACATTTTTTTTTCTTGGCACACAAAGAGCCATGAGTTTTTAATAGTGATGACAAGAAACAATTATCCTGGCAAGGTGTTTTCCAAGTTGTCAGCAGAGCCAAGAAATGGGCTACTGAGAGCTGGACCGGAGACAGTGTACAGTAGTCAAAGAATGCCCATAAGAGATGTACGAAGTGACAACCCCCCTCCCCACCCAAAACCGCAACCCCACCCCACTCCCCTTGCCGCTTTCACCACACCCAGAGGAAACCAATGCAGGCTGCTTTTCACCCCGCTGGGGGGGGGGGGGGTGGGTATTGAGAAGGAACACGAAATGAACACAGGGCTCCCCTTTAGGGTCATTCACCATTTTCACAATGTTTATTGTAACCCACTGGTAGTAAGACCACGTAGTGCGGACCAATAGCTCAGCATTGTTTGAGGCTGACGTAAACTACAGCGAGTTTGCTCTCTCATGTGCGTATTGAGGAAATACTTTAACAGTGATCTTCAGAAACTAATAAATGTGGAGTTTTTTTTTTTAACCTGGCTTGTAAAACTATAGGGATCTTATCCATAGCCTTATTGAGCAGATTTTTGTTTGAATTATACCCCCCTTCAATGTAAGGAGTCTCTAAGTAGTTTTTGATAGTCTCATGTGAATTATCAAGTAAAATTATAATTTACAAGGAATATTTTATTTTTGAATGATAGTTTGAGTAAGTAAGACTCCATTTCTCTCACATACCTCACATATGTAGGTGAATTTTCCCAAAATTATTTTAATATTATAGATGTACATTTAAAATATATTATTTATTAGTAAAACTCAATCATTATGTAAAACACAACAGTTTAAAGATAAATCCAACCGTACACCATCATTTTAGAATAGAGAAGCCTATTTATTCCCTGCTTGAATTTCAAGTATGCCAATATTTAGAAAATAAGTGTTAATAGAGTAGCCTAGAAATAGCCAACGACTATGGTCCCTCCAACCAGCCAGCGCTTCGTCAACACCTGTCGGGTATAAGAGCCCAGTCCTCCGGTGATTCATTCCTGTGGCTGCATTTAAGAATTCCTCTTTTGAGGGCCGTGATTATACGGGCTTTGGAAAGGGGAGGCATGAGGATTGTAAATTCCACACCCACCTAGACAACATAGTAAGACCCTGGTTAAAAAGCCCAGCAGGTGCCAGGCACTTCTGTGTTCTGGAACCACAGGATCCAGCGACCGCTTGAGAGAACGCGGACAGAGCCTTCTCATGTTTCCATACATTTAAAAAGAAAACTGAACACTCTTCAAAAACTGACTCTGGCCTCTAATTTGAAAATGTTCTCTCTATACGATGCAGAGCTAGGCAGCCACACGCCTGAGGGTTGGCCTGGAGACTGGACGGCAGCCCCTCTGGTGTCCAAGGGCCCTGACAGCTTGTGTGTGGATTCACAGGACTGGCAAGAGCTTTCCAACAGCTCGGAGACCGAGTTATGATAACACACCAGTGAGTACTACTAGTTTGATACATTTTCAATTTTTTTTATTTTTTGCGTGCATGAGTGTTTTGCATGTGTGTCTATGCGCTCCTTTCACGTCTGGTGCTCACGGGGGCCATAAGAGGGCATTGGAGCCCCTGGACATGGGCTTACAGACTGTTGTCACCATGCATGGGGCTGGGAATTGAATGTGAGTCCTCTGGAAGAGCAGCGAGTGCTCATAACTGCTCAGCCAACAATCCAGCCCTGGGTTTGGAGATTTTAAATTTACCATTATCTACCTTCTTATAAATATGTGGAAAATAAATATGAAGATTTAGTGTCTAGAGAAGTTACACAATCATTGCGTGTAGCATGTAATATTTGGGTCTGGGGTGAAGACATCTGTTGGTTCTTTAAAATTGGGACTTTTGTAATAAAAAAATGTAGAACAGAATGATAATGAAATACTAACCATCAATTTTTCTTTCAAGAAACATTAATAGGGCTGGAGAAAAGAGCCAGCTTAGGAGTGCATACTACTATTCTTAGCGAGGATCCATGCTTCTGTCAGGTCTATGCCAGGTGGTCACCACGACTTCGTACCGCAGGCGTTGACACCTCTGGTCTCGGTTGGTACATTCACTCACTGCACAAACACCAACACAGACACAGGCATATACACATAATTTGAAGTCATAAAGTAAACATTTTTAATACTTATATAGCTGGGTGGTGGTGACGTGTACATCTTAAATCCTAGAACTCTGTGAGTAGTTCAAGGCCAGCTTGGTCTACAAAATCTAGTTCCAGGACAGGCTTCAAAACTACAGAGAAACCCAGTGTCGATAAAACAAACAAGCAAAAACTTATCTAGCAATTAAAAAATAGTTAATATTTTGGTATCTCCAATTTGATAATAATGTATTCTTAATTCAAGATTGAGAATTATAAATAAAATTAATATTTGAAAACCACATATATATTTCCAAGAATAGAGATAAACTAATCTTTTCATATATTTGTCTATAAGGAACTTTAATTCTCACATAACTACTCTGATGGAGCTGGGGAGATGGATTGGTTTGTAAAGTACTTTTTCCACAAGCATGATCCATGTTGAAATCTCCAGAACTCATGTAAAATGTCGAGGTGGGGTGTACCTACAATTCTAGAGCAGGGGAGGCAGAGACAAGGGACTCCTTGAAGCTCATTGGCTAGTTTTGTCAAACAGGTAAATTCTAGGTTCTGTGAGAGACCATGTCTCAACACAGAAGGTGGTGAATGATAGCAACCTAATGTCTCTCTCTGACCTCCAAAAACATGAGCGTGTGTGTCTGTGTGTGTGGACACACACATACACCCCACAAAGATAAAGATGCTAATTGACCACATTAAAATTAATCCACAACATAAGGAAATTAGAAAATGCCCCTCCAGCCTCAGCAGCCCTTTGTCAATAATTTGCCAGAGTGACAAGCACATAGGGAAAGGGGGAGGGGCCTGACATATGTTCTCTCGGCCTTTTAGGGATGTTGTTCCTTTGGTCACAAGCATGTAAATGTACACAGAATGTGATCTTGTAGACATCGAGGAAATGGGTACTGTTCAAAACAGGAAAGGCTCATGACTGTTACCACGGCAAAACTGACAGAGTTCACAATATCACCCAGCATGCCATGGGCAACATTGTAAATAAACAACTTAAGGGTAAGAGTATTAACCAGGGACTTAATGTGTGCACTGAGCCTATTAGACACTCTTCAGAGCAGAAACAAAAACAATCAGAAAAATACAGTCAAAAAGAGAAGTATGTGGAGCTTTAGCTCCAGCTAGCTGTGCCCGGGGACGTTAGTGAGGACTAAAGGGAGGGGCTGGGAACTGCTCAGTCCTTTCCTAGTGAGTTCATGGCTTAATGTACAAAAAGAAACTTAAAACAAGTGGAAGTGTTTTCCTTCAAAAAGAGAGAAAATAGCAAAGCCAAACCACAAAAGCAATAAAAACTTGTAACATAGTTCCTCCAAGTGTCAGCATGACATAGATACATGTGTAAATTGTAAAGAGGAATCGTTTCACTGGAAAGAAATACATTTGGCCAGTAACTAAATGGAATTGATCTACCTCTTAAAAGTGGTGTTGTAGTCTGATTGGAATATCATCTCTAAATTACTGGAAATTTAAAAAAAACTTGAAATACAAATGGATTTCTTTTGCACGTGTATGAAATTGAATCCAGTTTTGAAGATAATGTCTTAAGTGTTGAGCCTGAAGGAGCCGCTTGCTTTCTTACGCTGGGGCTGAGCAACCCCCTTCTAGATACACACAAGGTGAGCGTTTGCACAGACCAGGAACAGGCATGAGTCCCGTCAGCACAATTCCAAGTAGCTTGTTGAAAATTTCAAAGGCCCACTAACAGAAAGTCACCAAGTAAATGGCAGTGTGTGTTCAATAAGTACTTATGAGAGTGGATAGAACAAAACCCACTATCAAATTTTAAAATATAAGTGTATATTTATGCTTGAAAGAACCAGAGAGAACATAAATGACAAATTTTTTTCTTGGGTTTGAAGGCGGGAAAGCTCCTAAGATCCATAAGTATTCCAGTCACTACTGTGGTGTTCTAGTGAACAGACACGGGCGTCTCATGGTTTGTACACGGGTGGTCTGGAAACTGCACAGAGAACGTGGAATTTAAAGTTATAGCAAATGTCAACGCAGCATCAAAGACAGAGCGAGACAAGCAAGACAGAAACAAATTCAAATCCAAACCATTTCTGAACAGGAAGAGCGACAGACTCCTTAAGGAAAAAAGCAGAAATGTCTTGAGGAGTCTTATGCAGACCCGGTGTTTACTCAAATTGGTGACGTCATCAGTGTTGACTCAAACTGGTGACATCAGGTCCAGCTGAGGTGCACACGTGTATTTGTTCCTTCACGTGACCACTCCTAGTGTCACACTTCATGACTCATCTGACTTTAGCTCTTTCCAGCTCAAGAGGAATGAGGAAGTGCAGTAATCAGGAAAAAGAAAAGCTATACATGCCAATTTTGTACTCGTTTAATAAATATTTATATCTCTTGTACAACATGTATGGTGCTTGGTGCTGGAGGGTGACACTATGCACATTTGACAAGACTCCTGCCTTAAGGCAACTCAGTCTTAAGTGGACTGCACATCCATGGCCAGAGAACTGGATTCCTGGGTAGTGCATGGTGACAGGAATGGGTACTGCACATCCATGGCCAGAGGGATTCCTGGGTAGCGTATAGTGACAAGAGAGTCACAGAGTGCTGGAACGCTTTCAGCATCTTCACATTAAGAACACACAAACAAGGCTATAGCTGAGTTGATAAAGCCAAGAATGAGGATCTGAGCTTGATCAAAACCTACATCATAATGATGACACGGTGCCGTGAGCTTGTAATATCAGCCCCGGGGAAGCAGAAGCAGGAATCCCTGGGTTCACATGCCAGCCATTCTAGCAAAATTGGTGAGGTCCAGACCAATGACAGACCTTGTTTCAAAGGAGATAAATATTCCCGAAGGCAACATTTTAGGTTGTCCAAAATTTGCAAGCACAGACACGCAAGCACAGACATGCAAACATAGACACGTATGTACATGGGGACCCACACATGTATATTCACCCTAACATAAGAAGATTCACAGGCATGTGTTCGTACACACACACACACACACACAGAAGGGGGGGGAGATTAGATAGATAGATAGATAGATAGATAGATAGATAGATAGATAGATAGATAGACAGACAGACATCCACAAATATAACCCCACATCAGTGTACTTGTGCAAGGGGATTCCAAAGCTAGTGGAAGCTCTATAACTTAGTTTCTTAGGAAATGAAAACCCTAAGATTGGATTTTAAGTGAGGGCATAGCAGGCTGGTCAGAATTTGCCTGAGAAACAGTAGCTACAACAAGAAGAAATTTAAAAGGCCCTTTAAGGCTGTAAGATTTTATCTCAAGGGTTATGAGAACATTGACATGGTCAACAGCGGAAATGAAGGTCAGTCTACAGGATGCAGACGGACAGACTTGTTGATCTGCACTTGCGTCGTGAGGGACAATCAAACTGGACCGGGCTGATGGAGAGAGGAAGCAAGGTGGAAAGTTTCTTACCATGCCGCCTGGGTAGCGGTAAAGTAGGCGCTGGCTTGGACACAGAACATTTAAACATCATTCTACTTAGCTTGGACTTATAGGGGCTATGGAAATTATACTTAGATCTTTTTTCCGGCTATAAATGTGGTTGTATTTTTATACATTTGTGTATGTGTATATGAATATCTAATTATATATAATTCACCAATTCATGTCTATTCAGCATAATTCATAACAAGAGAGAATTTTACAGGGGGCTACTAGTTATAATATGATAGGAAAAGTATTAAATAGACAAAAAGATTTGGCTTTTTGTCTGTTTTTAGGGTGCAATAATTCCGTGATACAAAGTTATAATTTCAGAATTGTATTGGTACACTTTTACTTCAAAACCAGTTATAAAGTATAGGTGGTCTTCTTTTAGATGTCATAGGAATGAGTCATTCCTTGACAGATCCTTGGAACATTCTAGAACAGTGATTCTGAAGCTGGTCTGCACATTACGATCACCTGGAGAAGCGACAAATCCCAGGCCTCACTGCAGAACAATTGAAAGGATGACCTCTGTGGAAGAGATGCAAGGCAGGGACGGGTCTCTGTGTGCTTCAGGTGGCTACCACATGCAGACAAGTCTGGGAACCTGTGGTCTAGAACAGGAACACAAAAGTGAACGGAAACTTCTCTCTCTGTGTACCAGAGCTGCTCTAACTTAGGGGCCCACAGAATCGGGTGTGCAAGAAATTATTCCTTCTTCTTCAGCCCGCAGCAGTTAGTCATTTCCAACCATTTCACACACAGCACAGGAGGAATTTACTCTGGGTTCACACTGAACTTCTCTCTCTTCTCCCCTGGACTGCTTCCTAGCTGCAGCTGGATGTGCAGTCCCTTCAGTGAGGGTCCTAAAGTGTCCGTGGAGAAGAGAGAACTTAATTGGGGCCAGCACCCACATAATGTCCAGCTGGGACCGATCCACTGCGTGCTTTCTCCTTCAACGCTTGTCTTCTATATCAGTTTCTGGGCTCACTCACGTCTCTGTCTCCTTCCATCCACATCTGATGATGCTCCTGGGCTTTCCTCTCACGTCCTTGCTGCTCGCAGCCTGCCTCCATGCCACCATGTTGCACGCTGATGACAATAGACTAAGCCTCTGAATACAGAAGCCACCTAGATTGAATGAGTTGGCTTTATAAGAGTGGCCATGGTCATTGTGTCCCTTCACAACCAAAGAAACGCTACTAAGACACACCCTGACTTGATTAGCTTTCTACCCTTTTACTTTATTGTATTCAATATTTTTAAAAAATGTTTTGTTATAGTTCCTTGATTGCCCTGCTATTGCCTTTGTAGTTCAGGCTAGTATCTGACTTACAGCTGAATGCATCATCGTTTGGTCTCCCCAATACTAAGTAGGACCAGCTCTCTATATGGCAATGGCCATCTGGTACCCTGATGCTGTTCTTGCTGGCAGTAAACTGGTGGTATGTGACCTTCTGTAACATGAGAGAATTTTTGCCGACCCAGTATAAACAGCACTGGGTTCTGAGAAGGAAGACAGGGCTGGTCTAGAGTCACCTACTTTGATAAGAAGCCAAGGGGGGGGGGGAATTTCTAAATTTAGACAAAAAAAATGTACAAATGCGATCCCTTTGCCTTCTCATGTGCAAGAATAGAACTGTTGGGCCTCAGATACATTTAGGAGCGACTTACAAAGGCGATAGTTTCCAAAGATGATTTTACCTTAGAAATACTTTTCAAATAAGATCATATAAAGAATCAGTGTGTGAGGCAGAGCTAAGGAATAAACGGGCTATAAAAGAGATGACTCAATGTCTGTAAGATGTGATATCTTGCTGAGAGATTTATGAGATACATGGTTTGAAGTAGATTGGGATAATAGTACAATTTCAATAGGTTGGATGTGATAAGATATTTGAGGGTAATTAGGACAAGGGCCAAGGTAAAATGTCATGATGGGAAAGTACTGCATCATATGTGAAGCAGAAAGACATTGCCGCAGACAGAGGGAATGACAGTCAGACTCTGCATGCAGTTAAGTCAACTGATGACTTATTTGGTCTGCCCAATGTTTAGTTTTTTTTCCAATTGTGGAAACAGTTTGCTTTGAATTATCAGCCAGTGTTTAAATATGGGGAAACTGTCCACACTATTTCTAAAAAGTTGACTTCCCTCGAAGAACCCAAAGTTCTGCTCATGTCAGACCTGTAGTTCCATGTCAGTAATCAGTAGTGATCATTAGAAGCAGGCCACAAGGGCAGGCCACAAACTCAGCCAACTGTGGGAGCCCACGTGACTCAGTTTCCATCTGAAATCATTTGACTTAAAGAAGTCATTTGAGTTCAAGCTTGCCCACTCTGCTTTTTCCTATAACCTTGAGGGCTATGAGAGACTTCTGATTTAGCCCGTGAGAAAAGAACACTCTATCTAGTAGAAAGAATACTGCTGATGACAAACCTCAGGAACATCAAGATAGAAAGCGAGTCTGCTTCCGAGCAGCAGGCACATGTTGGAGAGGAGGCTGCTCACTCAAGGACAAGAATGGTCTTGTGGTTAGATACTGACTGACAGTCTGGGCTGTGCTTTGTTCTGTTCTTGGATATAAGCGAGTTCTGAAATAAACTCAGGGCTGTTTGGCTGTTTCAGCATGACCGGACAGACCTCCCGATTCTATTCTGTCTTCTGTTTCTCTCACCTGACTTTTCTCGAGGATCCCCTGTCCAGGAACCCTAGCTGACTTTGTAGGAGCAGGCTCTTACAGTCAACAAATGTGCTACCCAGCTCCTCTTGTTGCCTCTGCAAATGCCAGCTGCCATTTATTATGGAGACACTGACTGTATGACTGCTGTTGCTTTGTAGTGCAGAATAATGTTTTCTTTACGCCATGTTTCACGTACTTCTCAGCTCTATGGTCTCTGCATGTACTGAAGTTTTTGATCTCCACCATAAGGAAATGTCAGCGGACATTCAACCTCAGCTGGACGCATTTGTTCTTCATTTGGTGGGTGGACAATCACAAAGCTTGGAAGCAATCAGAGTACTTCTTCGGGTGGCTGGGATGTGCTTGTAGAAAATTAACACGGTAAAGGGAAATAAAAGGAATTAAAGGGGAAGGTAGAGGTAGAATGCATAACTAAAATTCCTTCATCATTCAAGTAAGAGTAGAGGGTGGCAGTTAGGCTGGCATGAGTAGCAACAGGGATAGAATGAATCAGACCCAAGATGCTAGGTGAATAGTAGCAGGGGGCTTCTAGAACTAAAAGGAGAGATGGACAAAGAGCACCAGAGAGCATGCTCATTCTTTCCACCAGAAGAAGTGAAAGCAATAAAAATCTGGGAGAAGTGCCAGGTTTTCTTAAGGAAGAGTATCCCTTGCTTTGGGACATCTTGCTTTGAGATGCTTCCTGAACATGTGGATGGACAAATTCATCAACAGTCAAATGTATTCCTGTAGGTCAGCCTAGGCTAAAAGCTAAAGCATAGGTTGTGGAAGTAGGCAGAACTCAAGAGTTCTGGTGTATGTATTGAAGGGATCAGTAGGTCCTACATCCTTTGAGAAAACACGCAATGCATAGTGAGTGCTCAATATAAAAAATGGCTCACTAGATTCACATAAAAATTTCTGGAAAGCACAAATGTGGAAGAAATGACAGCAAAAAAGGACTGCAAACAAAACAACAAAATAAAAATGTGGGTCCCACTCAAAAATAACTAGAAGCTTGGTGACAACTAACCTTTTGGTGATTCCTAGGTTCAAAAGAGGCGAGCAGGCATTGGATTCAGAACTGAGGACTAAAAGGCCCAGAGACACAATATGCCTGCTCTAAATTCCTAGTCGGTCTCCCCTTGTGGTAGCCTGCTTGTTCTACTCCATTGTAGGTACTGCCCTGCTTACCTTCGGTGACAATGATTGACCTCAAGACACATTACTCCAGTAGATTAGATTATAAGTCAGAGCAGTCTCTATGGATGAATGTGTAGATGAATAGAGAAAATATATTATCTAATCCTTCCTGAAGTTAAAATGGACTCTGTTTAAAAATCTTGTGTTAACTAATTCAGAAGCACAGCAACACTTCCAACATTATTACATTTGACATTTGTATTTTCTGTGTCTCAAAAAATTCAGTGATACTCAGACAAAAGAGAAAATCGGCTGGTCAACCATGCTAAGTGTCAAGATTTATATCTAAATATGTCTCTCTTGTTTTAAAGACAAACTCATCTTGGTCCCTAACCTCCCTCCCCAACATATGTAACCTCCAAACTAGAACTAGAGGGCAAGAAGCTAGAGAGAGCAGTAGCTGCTGCTAAGGTCGCCATGTTTCATTTAGGAGTAACTTAGTGCTCCGGGCACAAGCGAAGCACTTCCTATAGAAGCAAGGAAAAGCAGGTGATGGACCACTCTGCTCCAGCCACAGTGAAAGCCACTCACTTAGCGATGCAGACCACTTTGTTAAACGTTGAAAAGATCATTAACATGTAGTGACTTGCACAAATCCTCTGCTTGGTGATTTAAGAATTCACAAGCTCTCATGTGTCAAGAGCCTGGGTTGTTTACAGTGCTATATTTTTACTCCATTTATTCATATCTGTGTAGATATTTCATATAGGTATGTAACAGTGTGTGTACATGTAGGCATACCAATGCCAAGGTGGATGTTTGCAGATCAAAGGACAACTTGCAGGCGTAGGTTCTTTCTGTCCACTATGTGAGTCCCAGGAATGAAACTCAGGTTTGACTACAGAAACTATTTACCCATAATCCATCTCACCAGCCCAGGGCTGCATTTTCATTGAGGTGTTGAGAAGAAAATTACTGGTCATTCAATAGGAGAAATGGACGTTTAAATCTGATGACTTTACCCATCACTCCTGTCCTTTGTCGTTTAAGTGTCTATGCGCTGAACCATCTGAGTCCCCGATTTTCTTAACATGTAAGAAATCAGGTTACAAAACTGAACCCAGTGAAATCTAGGCTGTAAGACGTTCCAGCTCTGACCACTTTTACCCTCTCTCTATTTAGACTCCACAATATGTACTGTATTACCACCCCATTCTTCTTTAACGTTGCTCTACACTGTATGCTTGAGCTTACTAAAAGCATGCCTGATGCTTTCACGGGTGATCTTGACTTTTGTTAATTTTCCCCAGTGCTGGATTTCAGAATGACTGATAAAATAAAGCCAGCGACATGAACCCTACCAGCTATAATGAGTGGCCTGGCAAGACAGGCCCCACTGGTACACTGGGCGTGCATGGTGCAGGAATAACAAACCACTTAACAGTTGCATTTAACACTCATTCTCCACGATGGAGCGTATATACGGCACAACCATCGGGGCTATATTCCCTAGGCGAGAACCGATACTATTATTCTGCTGAGCGGATAGAGCTTTAAATAGAGTTCTGATGACTCCATGATTGGAGCAGCGCTCTCTCACAGCTCAGAGAAGCTCCTCTTGGGAGTAGATGGTAATTAACAGCACATCGCCCACAACTCGTCAGAATGCAGAGGATAAGAGACAGCAGACCACCCTGCTCTAAAGGGACATCGCACCCCTTCTCCTTCGATTCAGGGATCATCAGAGAAGAGGAAGAACAATTCTAAGTGCATGCAACAGTAGATGACTATAATGAGATCGTGTCTTTTAGACACAAAAGGGCAATTGCACACATGAACGCGCAGTAGTTGAGAAGGCTCGAAAAGACTCATGTGCGCTCAAGTCAGACAAAATCCAAATATGGGGGGGAGGCTGGGTGTGAAGTCCCACCCCTAACTGAAGAGTTGCTGGTAATTTGTAGCTGCCAGAAGAGGGAGCGCTGGTGTTTTGAAAGGGTGTGGCCCTGGTGCTGGAGAGCTGGCTCAGCGGTTAGGAGCTCTTATTCAGGACGTGGGTTTGATTCCCAGCACCACATGTGGCTCTCACAGTCATTTGTAACTCCAATTTCAGCAGATCTGATGCTCTCTGCTGACCTGTGCAGGCACCGGGCATGCACGTGGTGCACATACATGTACACGGAGCAATACATACATGCAGGCTAAATACTCAGACATAGAATAAAATAACTTCCCCCCTAAAAGAAATGTTGCCACAGACAGGTTAAAAAAAAAAATGCTCCTGGGAATGGCTTCATATCTGTGAGTG